AATTTGGATGGGAATAACCTTAACAGTGTCATGAAACAAAGGGATCTTGGTGTAATAGTTTATTAGTCTCTTAAGCCATCCAAGCTACTGTACTAGAGCAAATATGATTTTAAGGTTGTATCTACAGAAATATTGAAAACAAGTCTAAAGAGGTTATAATTTCATTGTATAAGTCACTGGTTAGGCCACATTTGGAGTATTGTGTTCAGTATTGGACTCCTTACTTAGAACTGAGATTGAATTATTGAAAGGATTCAGAGGATGGTTAGTAGAATAGTGCCTGGGGTGTAGGGATTGTCATACGAGTAGAGGTTGAAATCTCTCAAATTGTTTTCTCTTGAAAAAAGAATAGTTAGAGGTGATCTGATTGAGGTGTTTAAGATTGTAAAGGGTATTGATAATGTTGATGCATCATTTTTTTTCATACTTAATGGTGAGAATGCTAGGACAATAGGACACAAATATAAATTTTGGCACAGTAGGAGTCATCTTCAGTTGAGACAGTTTTATTTTTAGAACAAGGTGGTTGGCCTTTGGAACGAATTGCCTTGGAATGTTGTGGAAGCACTAAATTTGTGGGAGTTTAAAATAAAGCTTTATAACTATATGAATGATAAGGGCTGGCTTTGATTGGTTTTTTCTAATAGTTTTAGTTTAGTTTAGAGGATGGGATAACCTAGATGGACCAATAGGTCGATTGTTGTCCCTGAACATTATGTTTTTAAGAATCCTGATGGTACGAATCATGTGACACATAGACAGTAGTATATTGATATTGATACACCTAGACCTGAAATCCACGATAAGAATCCTGATGGTAAGAAAAATGTGGCACGCAGACAATATATCTCGTACGTTTCTTTTTACGTATTTGCTTCTAATAACAATAACTTTTTGTTTAATTTGCATATAAATAATGATGCTCGAGGTTGGAGTACATCTCTGGAAATTAACAGTCTGAAATTCTGAAAATTTAAAGTGTAACCAATAAAATCACACTCAGTTTTTTAAATATCACAGTATATGTGGAAAGTCTGCTAGTGAAAAATTCTGTTTTAAGCTATTGAATATGACCAAAGCTTTAAGCGTTAGATACTATATCCTTGTGTACTAAACGAAAGATTCAATAATTGTTCATTAAGCACTGTATTTATAAACGCTTTACCGTCAGCAGATTCAGGTAAAACACCAATAACAAACGAAATCTTAGGAATAAGGAACTAACTACTCACAGAAGAAATTTTGAGAACTTTCTCGAACAGTAAGAATTTGCTTGTTTCAATTAAACTATATTATAAGTTTTGTCAAAAAACATTAATGGTTTAAAAACTTCATTTGACAAAGTGTTTGCAAAATTTAGTTTTTGTTGCAGATTTCCATATAAGAGATCTAACTTTCGTACGTACTAAAATTTAAAACCCAAAACAGTGTTCTTTCTTAAGTAAACTTGATTCTTATATCTTTATAATTTTTACTCATATATCTGCAGTTCCATTATCTTAGTCACCATAGAATTCTAAACAATTTACGAACCAATTAGTTTTATTCTAACAAACTTTCAATGTAACCAAATATTCATATCGTGAATAATCTCAGAAATAGATTTTAAACTGAAACTTTATTCATATACTTCAAAATTAAGATCAAAGTATTAAATGTCAATTTTTAATTACCACTATGGATAAAATAATTAACAATTCTGCATGCAAATGAAAAACGTTTTATGCCTCAATTCTAAAGGTGTAAATTCAATATCAGTGAATTACCAAATTAAACGCAACAAATTTTGTTCAATTATTTTTGGACAATTGTAATATTTTCAAAAGTTCGCTAAAGCATTTGAAATGACCCACATGCACAATGTTCCAAAATTTCACATATCTCCTTTTGAATTTCGCACAAAGCTACACGAGGGCTATCTGCTATAGCCGTTCCTAAATTAGCAGCGTAAGGCTAGAAAGAAGGAAGGCAGCTAGTCTTCACCACCCACCGCCAACTCTTGGGCTACTCTTTTACCAACGAAAACTGGGATTGACTGTTACAGTATAACGCCCTGATAGCTGAAAGGGCTAGCATATTTGGTGGGA